CCACTTATCCAGTTCTTACCAAGTATCTGACACTACTGAAAACATCCTCTACACTAACTTACATTATATTATGGATGGGAAAATCTCTCCTCAAGTTGATTAACTTTTCCTTACTATCATAACATCATTCATATTAAGTTGTATTATCAAGCTTTCAAAGATCAGATCTTAGTCTAGTTTAATCTTCTGTAGGATAAGTTCCTTGAAGACTACATTTATTTTACTTATTCTATTTATAAACAGAATGGTTCTTAATGAATATTACAAATATTTTCTGAATGGATCTGGACAAATCAATAAATGAGTAAGTGTCATTCATAACATCCTGTAGGAGTCAGATCAACTTGAGGCTCTTCAGTCTCCTCCAAGCTGTGACAGTTCCTCAACCTTCCTGTCTTGTATGACTCTTGAAGGACACTAGTCAGTTATTTTATAGAGTGCTCCTCCTTTATGTGTTTATCTCATAATTAGACTAAGTTAGAGATTTTGGGGAAGAATATCACAGAGGTAATAATGTGTTCCACTTGCAGCTCCATAGTCAGGGAATGTGTGATATCAGCCTATTAGTAATGAGGCAAACCTGGGAAACTGGAAGCTTCTTGCCCCCTTCTCTGTTCTTGGAATGTGTGCTACCCACATTCCTGCCCATTCCCACGCTTCCCAAGGACAATTCTCAACTGTGTTGTTGAGATCATATGGACTGTGCACAGGACTAAACCCAGTAAAAATCTCTATACGAACTTTAAAGTCTTGGGGGATGGGTGTAGAAAATTCTCTTGTCTTACAGCAGCCCAGGACTAAGTCCTGTAAGCTTTCTTGGTTCTTAAAACTGCCACCTACCAATATGGACTACTCTGCCTTTTTCTTTGATTTTTCCTTGCCCTCCAGTTACAGGGGCAGGTCTCGGATTACACCTGCGGGTTCCTGAGGTTGTGACCCAACAAACTGTTTCCACTTAAGAAAACATGTCTTTTATATGCTTGCTCTACATGCAGTTATGATAAAGACAATGTTCATGAGACAAACAAGAACTGGATGAAAAATACCAAGAGGGAAACAGGATCAAAATTGGGGTGGGAAGAGCACATGGGACTATAGTGATGGCACATGAATGAAGTGGTGGTGGTAAGTTCATGGGGATGATAAATGAGATGAAAAAAGGTACAAAATGAAAAATGATGTAAAATATATAAAGTAAAAATAAATAAAAAATAATACCAAGATTTAAATCTGGTCAGCAAATGTTTATATTAGAAAACATCAGACTTAATTCCTCATTAGTATGTTAGCAGTTCATCTTGCAATTTATACCATGCAAGTACTGTATATGTGAGTATATATATTATATATGTGTGTGTGTGTGTGTGTGTGTGTATATATATATATATAATTGTACTTATTATCACATAATAGTCACCAAATACTGTAAAACCAGTGTCAAAGATAACAAATTAATTAGGACATTCCTTATACCTGATTTAGTCAAAGTTAGACAGAAAGAACATAAAAATATAAATAAATAGCTGTAATAAAATATGTAAATATTCGCCATACTAAAGGTATAAACAAAAGACTGTATTGTCTCAGATAGGAGAACAGAAATGAAATATCTGGGATTAGACTGAAAACACCACTAATGATATCCTGTAATAAGGAATACTTTGGGCAAAACTAGTCATTATTATTCCACTATTTGGTGGAAAAGGACACAATTCGAATGACAAACTTTCAGTTCATTTTTAAAGCCACATAATCTAATGGGGTTCAAGTTCACCGCTGCTGGGGAGCAAATGTGGGTAATTCTCTCAGTTGCTGCAAAATCACTCACATGAGAAGCTGCAGAGAACCACAAATACTTAAGCTCAATCAACTTATCTCCAGACACAGCTCTTAGCCAGTAGGAAAAACTCCAGACTTCCCTTTGTGGTCACAAGGAAGAATGTTCTGGCTTTCTGATGCAAAAATAAAAAGGTTCCATAGTAAAATTAAAGCACATTTTCAAGGGAAGAGGGTACAGAGAACTCACCTGTAAGTTCTCTGAGAGTACCTTTAGAGAAAAGAGTAGAGACTGTGGAATGAAGAGGAGAAATTTAGTAAGAAGAAGAAAGTGATGTCAAAGTTACAGATTAGATGCATTTGCGATTACTACCTAAACTGAAGCACCTAAGTTGTGTCTCAAATGGGAAAACAGACTAGGTAAGTTTTCAAGCTTCCGTTTCTGGAAAACAACTTACAGCTGAACATAAACCAAAAATACAGATTGTGTGTATTTTGTAAGCTTCGGATGAATGGCTTTTTCTCTAAATATCATTTAACCAAAAGGAAAGATCTTTTTCTTTTTCTTTTTTTTTCCCCACATGTAGGTTTACAAATCCCTGTCCTAGAAAAGGAGTTTTAATGGTTAAATATAGCTAAAGTAGCAGACTTGCTCAGGACCCAAGGAAGCCTGTGCTAGGCAACAGCCCATTAACAGACTGGATCTGGGTATTCATAAAATCTGGAAGAAAACCAGACAGCTCCAGGGAAGTATTTATAGCCCACGAGCAGAGGAGTAAGGGGTGGGCAGGACAACTGTGAGTCATGCTTTATTCTGTTTTGCTCAGGGCTCTTATAGAGCCTTTCCTCTGACTAAGCACAGTGGCTGACAGCTGACAGGGCCCAGATACAGAACTGGGATCTAGGGAGGTGATCATGTTCAACATAACCAATTCAAAGCAGCAGGCAAACAAACAAGGTGGAAAAAGAGAGAATGACAGAGTATTGGTGCTCTAGGATGCTTGCAAAAGAATAGTAGGGAAATCAGAAAAATGTATGGGAAAACAGTTTGTCTTTCTCCTTGAGTTCTTCCCTACTGTTTTGCTGTAATCCCTCCTAAGGTTTTTGCCATAATTACCAATTTTAATAGAATTTAACAAAATCTTAGATTTTAAAACTACTTATTTATACAAACATATTTTACATCATTGTTCATTTTTGTGTACTGTATACTTTCTCCTCTCAGATGTAGTCCCCATAAAATTTGCACCACCAATTCACCTGTGAACCATCACCCCGTGAACAGGGGTGTGTTTTTCATTCCTGCTTTGATTCCTCTGCTTCGTCCTCCCTTGCAGAATGTCTTTGATTTAGTTGCCTACTAATTTTTTAACATTATTAGTTTTTTTCCCCCCGACCCCTTATTTGGTTTCCCTATGATTTTAAAAGGATTTATAAGGCAAAGAACACCATTAATGGAAATTAGGAAATCAAAATAAGTTCTAATCCCACTCATGTAGCAAACCTTTTGCGTTATCAAGTACTTCACAACCTCTCTGGCAATCAAGGCAAGAGGGGGGAAAAGGCAGAAAGGCAAGTAAAGGTTTACATAGAATGAAGACTAGTCTCATCGTGAGGCCAATTCCAATATACTCTTTACATGAGCTTGGGAGCTCACCTCCTTACTGGCATGGTTCTGGCACCCTCTGCTGTGCTGACTTAAAGAGCTCCAAGTGTTTTGTCACAACCCTATACAAGCAAGTTCTTAAGTCCTTTTCACCACTTTGATACCATATTGAGTCCCTTGCCCACCCTCTCTTTATGCTGCCTCAGATGCTCAGATTTTCCTTCCCATGAATGGAACTGCCACCCTTCTCACTGTCAAAGTGAGGGCCACCACAACCTCATAGAGGATGTATCCCCCTGGTGCCAAGATCACAACGTAGCTCCTCTTCCCTCCTGTTGTTGTAACCTTCCTGCTCCTGTTCCACCCCAACTGTCACCTGGCATTTTTCCATCCCTTAAGCTGCCCAGGGAAGCAGCTAGGAAGAACTGAAAGAAAGAGAAAAAAGAATCTTTATTCCTTTTGCTAGGATTTTTGTTATAGGGGATATTTGCTTTTGGACAGAGATGAGTTCAAAATCACTGTCCAGTAAATAAAAGTGTCCCCCAGTCAAATTCTTAAAGCTATTTCCAGGAGTTACTACAAGCATGGGAGGTATGTATTTAATGCATCATGAAATAGCCTCTTGGTAGGCTGGCCTGGGAACCTCACTCTCATGAGGTTGTTCCCATTGTTTCTATGGGAAAATGTTGTGTGAATGGCAAACAATTGGCTTACTAATGACCTTTCAAAACAATCTTTCCTTCCTCAAGAATGGTATGTAAAACAGGGAATTATAAAATGTGTTAGACAAAAGAAATCAGGGAGCAGTCGAGCTGTTCTTGGCTTTAATATAATTCTGCATACACATACACATATGTATAGAACATGTATACAAGTATGTAAGGAGTAAGTTGGAAAAAGTAAATTATCTCAGTGGTTTTTCCCCCCACTGTAGTCTGCGTTAGCAGCATAGGTTTAACCAGTCCCAAAAGCGGCCATTTATTATGTAAACAGTTTTCCGTAATGATTAAGAACACGAAGGAAATGTAGACCACATGGTAAATGCCTAGGATCAAGAAAAACAAGCACTGGAGAAGAATCTAAGACACAGAGAAGAGTTAAATGTGGACAGGTATTTCCCTCAGATAATCAATTCCTTAGAGAATAAACGCATCGAGTTCCCACTCACTGCCTGAGAGTCAGGGGAGAGATATCAAACCCTCCTTTATAGAATATGTCAACGGTGTTCTCAGAAGAGGGGAAGTCACACAAACAGGAATCAGGAAGGTATGTGTAGGGATAAGCAAGTGGGGACCTGAGTGGAGAAGCCAGAAAAGCTGTGGTTGAAAGGATTTTGTCTGCTGAGCTCAGTTCTGACAGGGCACAGTCATAAGGCATTGTAGGTTCTGATATAGAAAGATAAAATATAATATATAAATATAATATAAATAATGGAATCTGTCAGGGCATTTCATACATACTTTCCATCTTTTAGGTCAGTGGCTAGCACTGTATCTGGCACTTCAATATAATCCTTGATACTGAAATTTAAACTGAAGAAGAATGCCTCAGAAAGGACAGGAAGCAGAAGAGAAGACTGGGCCATACTACCTCAGAGCGTCTGTTCAGACTGGCTCACCTCATAGAAAAGTCCTTCTGGGAACTGCTGGAAGCACTGCGCACACACAAAGCACTGCTCATGGTACAGCTCGCCATTGCTGTTGACGATCTTCTCTGCAGGGGCAAAGCCACCCCTGCAACGCTCACAGGTGGCGTTGGCAAGGGCGTTGGCCATGTTGCTGTAACACACAAAAGACAACCTCTTCTTAGACTTAAAGCCAAACAATATGACACACTGAGGAGCAATTCTCTCTCTTCACAAAAATCTTATTTTATCAATAAAGTCCAAGTTCTTGTTTGCATCTTAGATACTCTTAAATCAAACTGTTTCCACTTTGTGCTAACATCTAAAGATGCTCTTCCTGTTCTGAATCTCTTTTTCTTTAAAATTTCTGACATTCTTCTTGCTAAATATGCTATGAATGAGTGTCTATGACCCATTAAGTACTTGGACTAAAGATAAAAGTCAATTGTTGCCACTCAAGGAGCCAGAATTTACAGTTTGATGTGTAGCCTAATTAAATACTCATAAGTCAACATTTTTTTAAAAGATTTATTTATTTTTATTCATAAAGAACTGAGGTACAGGCCAGAGATGCGGAGGGTGAGAGGCTTCACCAGAGACAGAGTGGGGAGCAGAACAGGCAGATCGACGAAGTACACTGCTGAGGGGAGCAGCGGGCGGGCCAGGAGAGGTCTGCCGCGCCATGTGGAGCTCCTCCAGGGCAGGTGGGGATCGAACTCATGTGGAAGTGGCTTAAGCTTCTTGGTGCTGTGCTTTAACCCGCTGCGCCACCAGTAAGTGCCCCATAAGTCAACATTTTAAAGACAACTTCTTTCCCCTCTGAGACCAGAATCTAAATTGCATGTTAGCTGAATACCATCTGATAGCCTAGACATAGATGATCCATTTTGAAAGCAACTGTTTAGATGACTTCAAAAAATATATTTATTTATTTATGCATACAGACCAGAGGTGGGGGGTGGGTGAGAGAAAATAGAATGGGGGGCAGAACAGGCTGACTGAATGAAACACACTGCTGAGGGGAGCAGTGGGTGAGACAGGAAATGTCTGCCACACCATGTGGGTCACCTCCCTGGCCAGGGATTGAACTGCTAATGCAGTGGCTATGGATAGCTTCATAGTGCTGCGCTTTAACCTGTGGTGCCACCAGGGAAGGCCGAATATGTAACTCGTAAAACCAACCAAAATGCCCTAATTTTATAATCTGATTGGTAAAACAAATCTTGAACACAATATTATAAAATGTATCAAGATCACAGAATTTTACACTATAAAGACCATTTTACTTACATATGACAAAGTAGAGGTTCAGAAGGGTAGAGTAGTACAATATCACAAAGCTAATTAGCAGTAGACAGGGCTGAGAAAACATGTCTCGCACTCAAAAAATCATGACCAGAGTAAGACTATAATATGAATTTCAAACATTTGAGGATGACCACACCAACACACTTACAGATTAGAAAAGTGAAACCAGGCAGTCAAGTGAACACTGACAAGATCAGAGACTTGGCAACTTCATCAGTAATTCCACCATACCCTTAACTACACAGGAAGCATTCAAGAAATGGTGACAAAGTATTTTTATGATTCTCTGTAATCACTGTGGCTTGGAAGAAGAAAAGCATATAACAAGCTTACAAACAAATATTTAGCCATTCTCCAGTGAATTGCCTGGATTTCATGTAAAGAACTGTTTTGCCTGAAAGGGCTTCAAGTAGAGAAAGTCCCCTGCCAGAAAATCATTGGCAACGCCTTCCTTTATAATTCTGCAAGTTGATTTTCAGATTCCCAATCAGAGTACAAGCTCTACCTGTGGTCTAGTCCCAAGAACAACTTCTGACTACCCACATATGGAAGCAACCCACCTTATAACTCTAGTGTTCTCTTGATCTTCACAATCACCATGTGCGGCAGGTACCCCATCCCAGCTGCCAAAGGATGACAGTGTTGCCTTCTCCAAAAATGAAGTGTTTCTGTTTTACAGCTTTGCCATAACTTACTCTATGTAGAAGTACCATGTTCACAATCCATACTAATCAAAGATTAATTTTACTTACCAGGCTTGAACACATAATTTACATGGCACCCCCCCCCCCCAAAAAGGAAGGGAGGCAGCCTCACCGAAGGGCAAACCATTTTTAAGTGTTATATTAAAATACAATTCTGGTGAATCTCCTACACTTATTCTTGAGTGTGTACTTTCACCTACAGTAAGTTTCCTTTCTAATCTAGAAGAAAAAAGACCGTATTTTCTACATTAAAGAACTTGAGTTAAGAAGAGAAGTCCATAAAATTCCCTTATTTTTCTGACTGAAATAACATAGGTACATTGTGGCAGTTTCGGCTTCCTCTGGAAGGATCCTTCCTCTGGAAGGATCTCTGTTTCTTGCTCCTGACTAAAACCCATAACTGTCCCTGTTGAAGAAAGGCATGTCCACACATACCTTGCAATCCTTATCACTGTTTTGAGATGAGCAAAGATATATAAAACCACTCTGGAAACCAGAAGATGCTAGTCAAATATAAAACATGATTATTAATTTAAAATTCTTTCAAAAGATTCACCAAATCCTCAATAATCTTATTAGAACTCTCCAAAAGCTAGGAAAGCATATTAATTCATCATCCCCAAATCAGCAGCTTACAAAATGTCACTATGACCCTTTCAGGCAGTTAGAAGATCCTTCTCTCCATTCTAAGTATATCTCTATGGGTGGCCATATTTTATTTATATACTGCATGTAAAACAACAGACTACAAAAGGATGAATGCAGAAGCAGATATGAGGAACTGTCTTTTTATTGAGACAGACATTAATAAAATTTGCAAAAATGTAATACAATACCACTCTTTCCACTAAGTTGTTTTAAAAAGTTATTTTTAAAAAACTTATTATTTTATACTAATAATTATTAGCTTGCAGTAAGTTTATTATTTTTAATGACTCACTAAATGTTTAAAATTTTGTTTTAGTTTCTAGGATATGAAATATTGGTAAACAAAAGCCCTCTTAGAACCTCAATAATTTTTAAGTATAAAGGGGTACCATTCATACTTAAACCTTTATCACAGACCTGTTTACACAGATTTCCCCTGCTATTAAAAAGTAGAATGAACATTGGTATGAATTGGAAGGGTTTTGGGGGTGTGTGTGGAGTGGGGGGTTGTCTGAGAATGCTATTCCCATTGATTTACTATGTGGGAAAAATTTAACATTTTCCCAAAACCCCAAAATAAAGTAACAAATCATACCAAGTAGAGATATTTTGCTTCCAGACAGTAGGGAAAATGTACTCATTATGATACTGATTGTTTATGTTCCAGTCCAAATATTAAAATAGAGAAAACAGGAAAACATACTATAGCAAGCATATAGGCTTTCTCACAAGCAGGGAAATAAACTAGTTTTAGATATAACATAACATATACTTTTGAAGAGGTGTATTTTTAAAAAAATAACGAACAGAAAGAGAAACAGAACATTAGAAAAAAAATTCAGAAACTAAATACCAATAATCTCACCAACCTACTGAACTGTTCACATGCCCCCTCCTGTCTTATCTTTAGCCACCTGGCTCTATGCACTTTTTTTTTTAAAAGAGTAGTTTTTGGTTCACTGCAAAACTGAGCAGAGGTACATAGAGTTCCCATCCACCCCTGCACCCACACATGCAGAGCATTCCCCATTACTAACATCTCCTACCAGAGTGGTACATTTGTACAAATAATGAACCTACACTGACCTATGCCGTTTTTACAGCTGATTTTTATATTTAATGGAACACATGACAGAAGTCTTTTTTTAAAAGTCATGGATGACAGGTATAGCTGTCATTTGGTTATTTATATTTAATTGCCGATTTTTTCATAAAAGAATTTTCTGAAAACACTAAAATAGAAATGCTGAAGACAAGGAATACATATATTGGAGAATATAGACTTAAGAAGTCTTTGGTACAGAATCTTCATCTTTGGCCAGTCATGGTTTAACTGATCTCTTCCATAAATCAACCTCATATAGAAAACTTGCTATCATGGAGATTTCTGTTACTCAAGTGCTTCATTTATCAAAGTATGTGAAACAAATATCCTGGCATTAAAATGTAAAAATGTATACAATCAAAAGGCATCCTGAAAGTTCACCAAACATTTTGGTTACTGTATAATTATAATTTCCAACAACTTTACAAAACTGTTACTTAAGTAGCATTGGTTTATAGCATATAGGTTTCAGATGGGTCCCAATTACTATAAAACAGTCCTTTGTGAATTGTGAAAATAAGTAATTGTTGTGATATCACACTAATTAGTGGAAATAGAATCCAGTTAAGCTTTCTATAACTTTTAGTTGATAAATTGGGATTTGCGAGAACTCTAAACTTTCAAATTGAATAAGGTCAATAATCTTATTGAGTTGGCCTATGCTATACTGCACTATTTATATAAAAATTATTTGCTAAATTTCATTTAATAAATTTAACTTTTAAACTTATGGCAAGATATATATGTATGTGTGTGTGTGTCTGTGTGTGTATATATATATATATAATGTGTGTGTGTGTAAATTTATATATAGCTTCATCAACAGCTTATAAATCAATTTTTCATTGTTTCCCTCAACCTGCACTGGTGTATAGAGTTGTAGAAAAGAAAAATTTCTATTGTAAACACAGACAAGGAAAACCCCAAGCTTCCCTTTTGGAATATACAATGAAATATACATATCATGAATCAACTGAAGACAAAGACATTGCTACACTTTAAAGGCAGCATTTTCCTCCAGATATACATTTATCCAGCAGAAATTTTAAGTCTGTCTGTCTGCTGGAATATGCTGCACTGTGAACAGTCCTCCAAGCACCCATCACCCAGGAAAGCTGTTATTGAAAGGTGAGGACATAAGCTTGCAATTGGTTAGCACACTGAAAGCCCAAGAAGGCTAAATCTGGAAAAGGGGGATTTCCAAGCGAGGAGACACTTACAATTTCGCATAAAAGTCACAAAACTCCTTGTAGACTTTTACGTCACTATGCCTGCGCTGCAGTTTGGACTCAGCCCTCTCGTCTTCATTGCCATTAACCTGGTGGGCACTGCTAAGGGCTGTCTGGGGGATTTCTTCATTCTCAGGGATAATACAGGGGCGCATCCTCTCTGGGAACGCCATCCTCCGGTGCTTGTGAGCTCTGAGCACAGACGATAGCAGTGGGACGGGAGGGAGAAGAGAGAAACAATATTCACTCCTCCCCCACTTCCCTACGAGGGACACTCCCACTGTTCCCACATGCGTCAGCACCAGGCCTGCAGGGTAGCTCCTGACCCTTCATGTTAAGAGTTCAGACAGCAAAGCAGTCGGTATGACAAGTCCTGATTTACTGAGGCAGTTGGGAAGTTCTAGAAAACCTTTCACAAAAGCCGTGACATAGTCCTTGCTGGAGCAGCCTTCCTGGTATACTGTGTCCGAAAAAAATGATACAAGGATAGAGAACTACTTGGTAGGCACCCAAGAGAAAGAAATTTCCATGTGCTCTGGTAATCTGTCACCCGAATTTCTATATACGCTAGCACTGTGCTTCTCGACCTTGGTGGGCATAAGTGTCTCCTAGCCCCTGAGAAGTTCTATTTTGAACATGCTCTTTGGTGAGACTAATGGTGCTGGTATATATCCTGAGGGACATCATAATGCCTAGACAGCTCACTCCAGATTCTACAGGAATCTGGGAATCCCTGAAAGTAAGAGCAACAGTCAGCTTTTATTTACTTCAGCAGCTTGTACACAGTAAGTCTTGAATAATGTTGATCCACCTACTTGGCATTCAGCCCAATAAATGGAGCAAAGGAAACAGGACTGCTAGGGTTTGATTAGAAACCTTTGTTGAAATCACAACTAATCCTGTAACTTTGGTGAGCCATTGTTTATCTTTATCATGATTAATGATGCACCAATGGTCTTGGTATACATTCCATACTAGTATTAGCAATGAAGATGATAATACAGTACAATGGGCAACAAAAGGGTTAAGAATCATCAGCAAGTGTTTACTGTCTTATCCCTGTGAGGTGGCATGATTTAAAGATGAGGACACTGAGGTACAAAGAGGTTGAATAACTAGAAAGTAGGTCATGGAGTTGAAATTTAAATCTAGCTAGAATGTTATCACAGCCTATGTTGTTAACCACTATGTGAGAAAATGGTTAAACAGAATATGGGATTAGAAGCAGAAAATATTAATATGGGAACCCAAAAGATCTTGGAGTAGTGGTCAGGAACAATAGACTGAATATTTTTAAATAGGAAAGAAATCACCTCAAGATTTAAATTTTCTGTTTCTACAAAAATTATGTGGAATAGAGGAAGGTTTGCAGTGGGATGAGGAGGAATAATGGATTCTGAGACTAGAAACACAGTGAATTACGGGTGGCATGTTTGGGAAAAGGGAGCCATACAAGCTGACTGTCCACTTTTCCCTCTTAATCTAATTAGCTTCCTTCTGTTTACATTCCTACTTCTACCTATTGCTCCTCTTTTCAGAATTTGAAATCAATCTTTATGAATGGATTAATAAGTTGTGGCATATATAAACAATGGAATACTACTCATAGATCAAAAAAGATAAACTCCTACCATTTGCTTCAACATGAACAGAGTGAAATAAGTCAGAAGGAGAAAGATCGAACTTTCTCGCACATGTGGAATATAGAGAAACCAAACAAATGGGTAGGAAAAAGATAAATTTGCAAGATCTGAAGATCTGGGATGCACAGTGGGGTGGGGTATGGAGAGGTCAAAATGGGAGGGAAGAGCATATGGGATGAGGTATTGAGGTGCTATGGTGATGGGAGAACTATAGGGACTACACATGAGGGGTGAAATCAAATATATCCAAAAATTAACAACAAAGTAAGAAAATAAATCTGAAAACCCAACAGAATCAATCTTTATGTTCATCATCTTAAAACGTATTTACGTCAGTCTAATGAAACAAAGTCCCCATGCATGCAGGGGCTTGCCCTCCCCAAGTAGAAGCTTCCAGACAATGACTTGATGATAAAGAAGGGGTCTCCACCACCATTATGTGTTATCATTAATAATCCAGTTACAACGTGGCCATTTACAAGTAACTTCTGCATAGAAAAAAATTATCCTCCATAAAAAAAGGCTATACTTACCATCTTAAGAGAGACTACATGATCTGCTCAGTCACACATCTAATAAATGGAAGATCCCAAATTCAAACTCAGACTTCTGACTTCAGTACTTTTGTTTTATCTCTTTATAAAATTTAGTCTGTATTCGACATCCCACTGATTGGGAAAAAAATTTCTCACACAAAACTAACAATAAAGGATTGATCACAAAAATATACAAAGAACTGAAACTCAACAAAATAAACAACTCCATCAAAAAATGGGCAGAGAGCTAAAAAGACACTTTTCCAAAGAGGAAATGCAGATGGCCAACAAACATGAAAAAATGTTCCAAAATCACTTGTAATAAGGGAGATGAAAATTAAAACCACAATGAGATACCACCTCACAGCAGTGAGAATGGCATATCTTAAAATGAGTAGCAACAACAAATGTTGGCTAGGAAGTGGAGTGCTGCTGGTGGGAATGCAAACTAGTACAACCACTATGGAAAACTGTTTGGAGTTTCCTCAAACTGCTAAAAATGGAGCTTCCCTACGACCCAAAATTCCACTCCTAGGTAATCTATCCAAAAGGCACAAAAACACTGATTCAAAAAGACACCTGCAACCCCATGTTTATTGCTGCTTTATTTACAATTGGAAAGACATGGAAGCAGCTGAAATGCCCAGAAGTAGATGACTGGATTAAAATGATGTGGTACATATACACAATGGAATATTACTCAGCAAACAAAACAAAACAAAAATAAACACATGCCTTTTGCAGCAACATGGATGGAGCTGGATGGGATCATGCTCAGTGAAATAAGCCAGAAAGAAAAGGAAAATTACTGGATGGTTTCACTCATAGCAGGAGTATAAAGGACCAGGGAAGAAAATAACAATGATAATGAACAATTATATTCCAGAGACATTTTACAGCAGTGGAATGGGGAATGGGATAAAAAACAATGGGGGGAGAAAAGTGCACTGGACTATGGTGATGGCACATGGGTGAACTGTAGGTGGGAGCCCACAGGGATTACGACTGAGATGGAAAAAGGCACAAAATGATGTAAAAATAGACTATCATATTATTTTTAAAAATTTAGACTGTATTAATGCTTCCAATAATTTCTCCACACCTAAGGTAAGAACCTGTCACAAAGACTCTATTTGTCTCCAGCAATATTTTTTACTGTTCTTAATCCACATTACATTTATGATTTGATTGCAAATCATGTCCATTCTCCTGCCAGCAATACCATCAGACCAAAATGTTCTGCTCACATTGAGATAATGCTACTTATAGACTCAAAAAACTTTTAGGGTAGAACACTGGTCCTGTGTGGGTGCTAGGAAACATCCCCTTCCCTTCAGTTTCAATATCCAGGTGACAGCAGACAAATATTCTAACAAATACTCTACCTTTATCCAGTTTCATTCCATTGGTCAAAAATATAACCTTCACAAGGGCAGGAATTGTCTCGTTCATGAGTAGAGCCCACTACTTACTAAGGGTACAGTAGTTACTTGTTGAAATAATGAACTAGGGTTAATGATCCATCTGCTTGATTCAGAGAATCATGAAAACAATGAAAGAGCAAATTAGTCACCAGTCTGCCAAGTACTTTGAGTCAGCAGATCTAAAAATATAACTTTTATCTTATTTACTTCATAACAGCTACTCTTATTTCTGTAAGACTGTAAAAGTTTATGAATCATTGACAGATATCATAGTGAAATACATTATCTGCCAAATAACTAAAAATAATGTAAAAGATCTACAATCAAACTTAAAATTTTTATTCTGAAATACAGTCATAGGAAGTAATAAGGATTGTACAGTTTCCCTAGGCTTACATCTTGAGTAATTAAAACCCAGTATCAAATCCAAGAATCTGATAGTGGTACAAAGTGTGTGTGTAGATTCTGTGTCACTTATCAACACCATAATCAAGATACAGAATGATTCCATCACCAGAACAATCTCCCAGTGCTATCTCTGTCATACCCAATCTCTCCCAGTCTTCCATCCCTAACCTCTGGCAACTACTAATCTGTTTTTCATCTACAGAACTGCCAGAGAATGGGACTGAATCTTTGTATCCCTCCTAAATTACTATGGTGCAATCTGAATCCCTAATGTAATTGGAATTTGGAGGTTTGGTCTTCTGAAGGGCTGGATAAGAGTTAGACTAGGTCATAAGAATGGGCCCTCCTGATACAAAGAACTGATACTCTTGTAAGAGGAAGAGTTGTGTCAGCCATGCACAAATATGGCCAAAAGATGATGTTCGAGAGTCAGGAAGTAGATCCTAAGATACTGTATCTCTGCACTCTAATTATGGATTTCCCAGCCTCCTAGGGAAATGAGTACATATTTGCTATTTAAGTCACACAATCCATAGCATCATTGTTACAATAGCCCAAACGAATAGTAGCATACACAGATACTTATAAATATGGGGCTTTTTAAGGTTGGCTTTTTGCTAGGCAAAGTGTCCTGGAGATCTATCCAAGTTATTAGGTATGGAAGCATAACCTCAACAGATTGTTGTTTTTCATTGCTAGTGGTATTCCATGGTATAGGTTCTGTTATGTATAAAACCATATATATTAGTTTCTGGGTAAACATAGATTTTTATTTTTCTGGGATAAATGTTCAAGAGTAAAATTGCTAAGCTGTATGGCTCATTTCTGTTAGAAACCATAAACTGTTTTTAAGAATAGCTTTACCACTTTATACTGTCTTTAGCAATTGTATGAGAGATTACATTTCTCTACATCCTCACCAGCACTTGTGTTACCATTATTTTTTATTTTTGGTGTTCTAACTGGTGTTTCAATTTTCATAAAATATATGCATTGTTAGCATTTATGCAGATAAGTATACACAAGAAATTATAAATCTCACTCCACCAGTATTAATAAGGAGGGAAATAGAATAATGATTGTATTTTAACAAAATCGAACATCATAGAACAGTTTTGAAAACTAAAGTGCATTTGTATGTTCTACTAATTGTCCCTTTGAGAAAACTAAAGAGCTTACTGAAAGAATAGATTCTTGGTCACCAATAAGATATTATGTTGCCTGGGTGATCTGGTGATGGGAAACCCAAGGGGATTGCAATTGAGATGGAAAAATGCACGAAAACATGTAAAAATAAACTATTATAAAATTTTAAAAATATTATGTTGCCTTTAAAGAAAATGTTTTCAGTCTGTATTTTGTCTTCCCAGGGACCTGAGTATAGCCGGGCTCCAGGTTTTGACTGCTGAGTAAGCCACCAAAGGGCT